AGGAGAGGAGAGGAAAGGAAAGGAAAGGAAAGGAAAGGAAAGGAAAGGAAAGGAAAGGAAAGGAAAGGAAAGGAGCAGAGAGGGGCCCACTTCCAGTGGCACAGTCTCTACCAACCCTCAGACAATGGGTTGAGTTGCAAAGACAGTGCTTGGGTAGCCATGTTGCCCTTACCCCCTCTTTCATAGATCATGGAATAGCTCTTTGACAAAACAAATGAGCCTGTGGTTAACAGCCTCTTTCATCCACTTTCAGAGAGCATGAACAGCAAATCCTGGTTTCTAGCGTATGCTTAGAATTAAAAACATAGGTTGTGTGAGGGCTGGATAGGTGGTTCAGCAGTTAGGTGCACTTGCTGCTCCTGCAGAGGACCTGTGTTCTGTTCACAGCACCCAGGGCAGCTCATAACCATCAGTAACTCTAGTTTCAGGGACTCTGATGCCCTTTTCTGAACTTTGTAATCAGTAAGCACATAGTACAGACATATACATGCAAGCAAAGCACTCACATACATAAAATGAATATATCCAATACAAAAAACAATGTTTTAAAACAAAGAGGGGAATTTCTTCATTCAATGGCCTCATGGAGGAAAAACAAAATCTTTGAACAAATTCTAGGTTGACTTGTCATTGTTATCAGTTTCCAAATACCATACTATTTTACAGTTTTCTAAATGAAATTTAATTGTGTCTGGCATCTTCCCTACATCTGCCAAGAGTGACAACAAAAAAGTACTTAGCGAAATATTCTATGAGAACACTTCCTTTTGGGGCTACATCTGAAAACCGTCTGATTGTACAGAAGACAGCTACAGTGAGAGCATTTAACGTCACGTGGTTGTTGTCTGACTTGAGTACAAGGGTCACTCTGGTTCAGACCAATCCTTAAAGCGTGGATTCTTAAGACTCACTGCTTGGCTGAGATTGGCACTTGATACACACACAAGCTACTAAAGTGTTTGTGAGGTATAAGCTTAAGAGGCTGCTGGGAGGACACAGTTGACAAAGTGCTTGCTGTGTGCGTATGGAGACCCGAATCTGGATCACCAGCGCCCTACAAAACATCCCCAGTGAGTTTGGAGCAGAGCGAAGGTGACTCCAGGCAGCAGACGGGGAACCTGAGATAACAGATGTTTAGAGGTATAACCTTATTGGGGTATATTTATCTCAGACCTTTGGTTTTACAGTTGGTGATGTACATTGGCCAGGTGGCCAAGGACATCCTGAAGTGGCCCCGGCCCTCATCCCCACCCGTCGTGAAACTTGAAAAGAGAGTGGTTGCAGAATATGGAATGCCATCCACCCACGCCATGGCGGCCACTGCCATTTCCTTCACCCTCCTCATCTCTAGCATGGACAGGTACCAGGTAAGCTGGGGCCCCATTCATAGTCCCCCAACACTCACCACTAATGGTAGAACGAGGAAGCCAAGTGGGGAGCAGTTCAGAATGTCTCCTATAGCTGCTCTGAGGGACATTAAGATTTATAAGGTAAAAATGAGGGAGTCTGGAACCTACAGGGACGTTGATAATTTCTTCATAAAGGAACCGTCTAATTTAGTGCCCAAATCACATTATGCCTTTGAGTAAGGATGGGCCCCAGAATGGAGAGCAGGGTGTGGGCTGCCTGCCGTCTTCTCCCCACGAAACTGTTTACCTCAACTGTTGCTTAGACAGATTTGCAACAGACACAAAGGGTTTATGATCCTCATAAATGATCCTCCAGGGCAAAGATGATCCCACCAAATCCCTCTGCCAGACTCTCCCAGCCTGGGGCAGAAGAGAGTTGGTACCCCAATTACCTCCCAAGGATGACTCTGCCTCTGGTTAGGGACCCATTATTAGAAATGATGACTTTTTTTTTTCAGAACCATATAAATGACAGGAGATTAATAAATGTTGAAAATAGAAGCATTCCATTTAATATCTGTTTAGATGATAATTATAGTAAGACCTTTTCAAAGTTACTTGATTGCTGCAAGGAAGGTTCTTTTTTCTGTTATTGGAGACATGTCACTTTAACTTAGAGTTTAATGTCATAAATTATACTCACTAGCTGTTGGAAGTTTTAGATTTCATCGAATCTGGTGGTCTCATAGCTAAAGGGCAACAGTGGGTCACCCTGATCTTTACCCCAGACATGCCCAGCAGCTGCTCCATACTCCAGGGTTCTTCGTTCAGCCACCTTGGTTAGAAGAAGTCAGGACTGGATCAGGTCTCAACTCTTCCTCCTGACCTAATGGACCTAGATCCATTTCCTCAATGAGACAAGGATGCTCATTAGGATTGTAGCCAGCTAGCTGTTTAGCACTTTGTTGTAACTTGTTAAAATGCCACGCCAAGACCCACACATATTGGGCATCTCCAGAACTGTCTGAGTTCTAGCTGACGTTTGAGCTGGGTTTCACACATACTCTGCTGCCCAGCAGGACACAGCGGGCCCAGGCTCAGCCTGGTGTGCAGAGTGTTCTCAGTGCACAGAGAGATCTGTTGTAAATGTGCTGTCATTTAGGGCAGAGATCAACACAGACCATCACAAGGGCAGGAGCCTATGGCAATGGAGGGTTTTCTCATCCTGATGGATAGGATGCATGGGGAAGACAGATTCTATTTTTAAAGGCGTCCCTAAGTGACTTTCACCCATTGGGGCGCTCCTCCCAAAGTTTACGTCATTGAAACTTACATTAAATAGTGCAAGACTACGATGACCAAGCATTCACTTGGTGGAGTATTTTATATTGAAAACAAAGTACACTCTGCTTGGTTTAGTCTTAAGAAACCCCGCTCTGCCAATGCGGATAACTCCAGTTAAACCAGATTAGATCAAATCAAAATGCCCATGTTTAATAAATGCAGCCCTCTCCGGTGGACCGAGACAGCATGGCAGGGAGAGGAGCCCCATGCAAACCCCAGAGACCACGTGTTCCTTTTTCTGGCACGAGCCTAAATGGCCTGGAGGAGTGGTCCTGACCCTTCCGGGGAGGGATCAGTGCTTGGTAGGCTGGGATTTGGAGTCTGGACTAACTCAACTCCCAGGCCAGGGACTGGGATGATGCTTCCAATCATTCATCCCTGACTCCTTGGATATAGGGGTGTTAGAGGGCTGGGGTCTCACTTTCAATCAAACACACTCCAGTTTTCCAAATTGAATGCCATTCTAATCTACTAGGAGGAGAAGCTGGCTCCAGAAAGAGAGCAATAACAATTTGAACACTCACTTCAAAATATTCCCATTCCCTTTGTTTCCATTGTACAAACCTAAGGTCATTTTGACATGGCCTCTAGGCCTCCATCTTGCCTAGAAGCCTGACAAACTATCCAGTTAAGATGTTCCTTCTGGCTCATATGATGTCATAGTCACCCTAAGGTCTGAGGTGTCATATCTTTCCTACTTAGCTCTTCTTGCTAAATATACTCAGTTACTTGGGTCTGTTTACTCACAAACAGCTTTAAATGTGGATTTACTTATTTATGTGTGCATTGACATTCATATCTGGATGCATAAACATATTCACTTTAAATACTTTCTGATACAAATCTGAAACTAAGTCAACGAAAAATCTTTAAAGAGAAACTACCAGCTGGGATACATACACTTGTAACCCCAACACTCAGGAAACTGAGTAGGAGGATCATGTTTAAGGCCAGCCTGGGCTGCATAGTAAGGTCTTGTTTCAAAAACATATTGTTTTAAAAGATAATGTTTTCAACTAGTGTTACTGGACTCAGTGGGACCTGGAAAAGAACAGAATATCATGACTCCTGGTTCTGGCTGAGCCACTACCTGTGTGGCTTTGTGTACATCTCTCTGGCTTCTGTTGTAAGACTCAGATGTCATGACCGACAGGAGTATCCTGTGTTCAAGTCCAGTGTGGCCATGACTTACCATCATGGCCATTGACTCAGGCATCACCGTTATACAACAGGACTGATACAGAACCTACATCCTAGGGTCATGTGAAGACCTAGACTGGGCAGATCAGTGCTGTGTCTGCTGCAGATGCTGGTATATCTCTGTTCATATTGCTACAGAACACCCTGTTAGTGATCAGAGCAGGTATATCATATGTCCATGCCCTGGTTCTAGCAGTATCCACGTTCCTTATGTGTCTCAGCCTTAGCCAGACACCTATAGCTACTCTTCCTGCCCACCTGCTGACGTCGAATTCAGCAGCTGCTGGATGGATGCAGTGATGTCTGTGAGCCGCTTCTTCAGCCCATGGTTTCTGGGGCTTCTCAAAAGGAGGAGTTTTTTTTTTCTGGGACTTCAGACTCTACAGTGTTGGCCATCTACCTTACTTCCTAGTCAAGTTGTTGATGTATCCAGTTCTGATTTAAAACAACCTGGCAGACTCTGTGAAGTGCCAAATGTTGGATGGCTTTCCCCAGTTGGTTGTTGGTGGTTTTCATCCTGCCAGGACGTTTCAAAAACTTTCTGCGTCCCCAGAAAACCTCCCTCTATCCAGGCTTACCAGGATATTTGAACAGGAATGGGTTGGTGACCTTTATTGTTTATAAGATCAAGAGCGATGATAAACCAAGTAAAACTGGGAAAGGTTCCAATCCTGCACTTGCCCGTGGCTGTCTCTAACCACTCCCTGAGTCCATTCACGATGACTCATCTCTCTGCTAAACCTGAGCAAGCTGGGTTAGATGGGAACATGGCCCACCACTGTATACATGGCTAAGTACCATTGACAATGTAGTATCCGTAAATGTGTCTGAGGTGTACCACTCCCTGTGAGTCCTACTCTCTGTGTCCCCCGAGGAAGTTCTTTGTAGGCAGCAGGCTCCATCAGAACCTCACTGGGATGCCCTCCTTAGGAAGCCTGAAGTTTGAGGAGCACTCTGTGTGGCCATAGGGTTGGTCATCAGGATGTAGGTGATAACTCAGATTCTGATAGTCAATATATCTACTAAATGGGAAAAATAAATAAATAAAGAGTGAAAGAAAAGTTTTCCATGAAAAGGGCCAGCCCCAGTTCTTCTGTGCATTCTTTACATGTTTATAGGTTGGGGAACTTTCCCCCAGAACTGTATTTCTAGGCATTTTCTCCTTACCTGGCCTGATTTTAAAATGTGGTGATTAGCTTGCTGGTCTAGGGAAAGCAAGATTCAGACTAGCGATTATGTACAATGAACCCCATTCACCGCTGCGACATCAAATCAGTTCATTCTGGCCAGAGTCTTGGCTACTCAGGAGACATCACAAGAGAAAAATCACCGGTTCAAGCTGGACCACTAGTAATTTAGAGATTACTTTATGATGAAAAATCAAATAAACATGGTTTAGTGGTAGAATGCCTACTTGACTCTAAATTCAATCCATAGTAAAAATACACACAGATAGATAGATAGATAGATAGATAGATAGATAGATAGATAGATAGATAGATAGCACATAGATAGATAGCAGATAGATAGATGACAGATAGATAGATAGCAGATAGATAGATAGATAGATAGATAGATAGATAGATAGATAGATAGATAGATAGAT